GCTGGTAAATCTTCCCCCAAGACAAGGGCCTGAACATTAAAAAAAAATCAAACACACTGAGAAATGCAACAACAAATTCAACATACAGCTCTGCAAAAAATAAAGAGACCATCCATCCATCCATCCATTGTCCAACCTGCTTATCCTACTGGGTCGGGGGGGGGTCCGGGGCCTATCCCGGAAGCAACGGGCATGAGGCAGGGAACAACCCTGGATGGGGGGCCAGCCCATTGCAGGGCAATAAAGAGACCACGCTATATATATTTTTTTAAAATATGCATTTTTAAATCCTGGCTTAATTGCAGGCAGAAGGTTACACTGAGCGTCAGGCTGCTTCCAGGATCAAAGTTTCTAAGAAAGCAGTACAAGAAGAAGAACTGGGACAGTTAGGTTTGCTAGGACTCCTGTAAGCCCTTAAAGACCCATAAAGCAAGGAAGAAGCTCTTCATCAATGAGAAGCAGGGAAGAGCCAAAAAATATGTGGATTTCAGACAGGCGCATGCCCATAAATTGAGAAATTAATGAAATTGAAAATATTGCTATGATATCTTAATTTTTTCCAGAGCTGTATGTGATCAAACAAACAGTCGCAGGAGCAAACTCTCTCTCTCCAACAAATACATTCACAATTGTAAGAATACATTGACAGCCAGATTAGCACAGACTTTTAAGAAGAACACAAGACTAAATTTACCAAGTGACAAACATAAATGCACTGGACTTCCTTAAGATTACAACAGTGGAAACCAAGCAAAAGCGGGGCTGGAGATGACAGGCAAAGAAAGAGAAAGGAATGGCCTGAAGACTAGATTTAAAATTACAAACCAAATTCAAGCAACAACGCCACTAACATTGAGAATACGGTCTACAAGACAATTAGCACTCCCATCTTCTCCCGTGAAGCTCAGCACTAGATTAGCAAGCCTGGGAGATGTAGATTCCCACACTCTAACTAACCAATGCCTCCAGCACAGATCATTATCTCATCATGTGTAAATTGCCCGTACATTCGAAATCGAAAGATCGCCAATCAGATTTCTCGATTTTGCAAGCATTGCAATTTCTTTTTGCAACCACTAAGTGGCAGCATTGCGTAACATTTTCTAAGTAGCCCTCGTCGGTAACCACAAGGAAATGGAGTTGTTTGCTCTCATAACAACGTTAAACTTTCTAAATCACATTGAACATTGTGAGGCCAAGCAGAATAACTTGCAGTTAGCAGAATGTAAAAATTTTCAGCACAACCGATTAAATCTGTTATAAATAATCAGATTCCTGTCTTTGCCGAATCAAATACAGCGGTGGAGCAGGAAAGTGAGACAGCGAGCTTATGGAAGTTTTCATTTATTTTTTCGAGAGATATGTTGATTCATCTTATCAATTATTATTATAAAATTATAATATACGAAACTTACTTGGATTTAAACAAGTTTAAAATGTTGTAATGATGAAGTAAGAAAGCAACCACTAGTGGAAGGGACAAGATCACCCAGGCAGAATGAAAGTATATTTTATCTGGCACAGTATATGATTTGTTTGAATTACAGTATGCAAAATAGCCATTGCCTCATACTATATAATCAGTGTTAGGGTTGTATACTGATATGTTATAACTTAACTGCTGCAAGACCATAGTGGAAATTCAAGGATTGTTTTTGAATAATAATCAAAGCACAATGGCACCCAGAATGTAAAAACAAATAAATATCTTAGCCACTTGCAAATGGATTTTGTCCATCAAAAACACACATAAAAAATACATTTTCCATCAACAGACAAGTTGGTGTTTGCTTTCCTATCAGTAGGAGGCAGCGTAATCACTTGCCATTGGCAGTGTTACAACTCCGACGAGTATATTTACATGAGAAAATTAAACATAACTTAGTCTTAGCGACTTAAGATGTTTCATTAAAACAATTGTCTTGGATATTTTAGACTTTGTTAGTTGCCAATAGGAAAGCACATATTGGGGAGCGAGAGGTGTGTGGCTCAGTGGATTGGCTGTGACTGTGTTTGGAAGGTCGCCAGTTCGAGCCCTAGAGCCGCCCAACTAATGCCACCTTGGGGCCATTGAGCAAGGCCCTTAACCCCCAATTGCTCTTGGGGCACTGGAGGTATTGGACAGCTGTGCTGTGACTCCCAGACTTACTCTCACCTGCCTGTGTCGCTCATGGAGAGAAAGATGGATTCCGAAAAAGAGAGTTTCCCCATGGTGGTGAATAACACATGTCTGTTCTGTTTCAGATTTCCAAACATTCCCTATGCAATAAATAAATAAATATCACAGTGACATTTTTGTATGTTGTTAAAAAAAGTAACATAGTAATGCACCCTCTTTCCAGATTAAAAACTTGAGGTCTTTGTCGGCATATTGCCCAGTGCATGATTAAACAAATATAACAAGCAGGTGCTAATGATCAATGACATAATGTGTAGATTGAAACAAACTGATTAAGTGAAGCAGAAACAGCTGTGCAGAGGGAAGAAAAATGGGCAAAGTACAGCCATCCAAAAAGGGCAAGGCTGTGTGGATGAGGCAGATTAACCTTTAAATTTTCCACTGGGAGCACAGGGAAAAATACACTCACAGACACACAAGGTGATATGACTAATACAATTTAAAGATTCTTCTCCATCACACAGTATCATCAGCAAGGTCCCAAGCATATATGAGTACTTTATGGCAGACAGTTGTTTCCAAATATGCTGTCCTAACACTTGAGCTGAAGTACCAGACAAGGATGAGGATCAGAAACACTTTGGCCAGAATCTGAGAGCAATGGATAAAATGTACATCAAGCTCAATTTCCCTTAAAAACCTAATAAATCCAGATCTCCTATCAACTGGCAGAAACCACTGTGACCCAATTAGAGAAGTCTTAGCAGAGGTGGTCCTCATGGAAGAGTTGCGACCAAGAAGCCATTCTCTGATTTGCAAACAAAGCTAAGCTACTCAACTATGCACAAAACCACAATAACTAGTGTGCAGAGAAATGACAGCAGGTGCTCTGGACTGATGAGTCAAAACTTGAAATATTTGGCTCTAACGGAAGGCACTTTGTGCGCTGAAGGGCTGGAAAGCAATAGATGGATAATTGTTTGCAGGGAACAGTGAAGCAGAGCACAGATTCCCTGCAGTGTTCTGCAAACAGAGTTTGCAATTTGGTCAAAATTAATGGCTCCCTCATTGCTGGGAAGTGGAAGCAGATTATTCTCCATCACACAGTATCATCAGGGAGGCGTCTGATTGGACCCAAATTCATTCTGCAGCATGACAATGACCCCAAAGACAGGCCAAAGTCATAAAGAACTATCTTCAGTGAAAAGAACAAGGCATCCTGCAGCATATGGTACAGCTCCCACTGAACCCCGATCTCAACATCATCGAGCCAGTCTGGGATTATACAGAGACAGGAGCGAGTGAGACAGCCGAAGAACTGTGGCAGCTTCTCCAGGATGCATAGGACAACCTGCCAGCCAAGTACCTGTAAAAAATGCATACAGATGCATTTAAGAGAAGTGACACTGTTTAAAGGTGGTTACACCAAATTTCGGTTTGATTATTTTTTTTATATGTTTATGGCACTTTCTTGCCCAAGGGGCACGTTTACTTCTATAGTACAGTTCAGACACAAGGCAATTCACGGTGCTTGACAGAGACACAGGGATGCATTAAAACAAAATGTATTATGAAACATATTTGTCACATTGTTTTTGAAAGCATCCTCTATAGAGCATTTTTTGCAGGAACAAAACACATTTGCACAATAGTATGTTTGTGTGTGTGTGTGTGTGGGGGGGGGGGGTTCAGATATACATTACTTGGTGGGAACCAAATGTCGTCACAATGTGATGAAAAAAACTATTATACTGGCATTGTGGGGACCATTTTTCGGTCTTCACAAGGAGAAATTCAGTTTCATAAAAATCTGTGACTGCAATCAGAAAACTAACAATGCCAAAAGTCTTGTGTTTTGTTTGGTTACTCATGGTTAAGGTTAGGGCTGGGTAGGGGTTAACGGTCTCATGATTGGGATTAGGGTTTTTACCATAGAAATCAATGGAAGGTCCCCATTTAGATAGGTGCGAATGATGGACAGATGGATGGATGGATGGATGTCCAATACCTAAAAGAAACTGTGACCCAGCTGGTACTCATTGTCACATGAGTTCCAACATTAAAATGAAGTCACGACCAACATCAGGATCTCATGATCTCTTTTCCATGTTCATTCGATCGTACCGCTATTCATTTTCATCTAAACCATATGACATATATAACTTCAAAGCGAATCCAACAAATTACAGTTAAATTAACTGTAATTGTAAATTAATCGTAAATAATATTAGTATTCCGACGAAAAGTAATACCTAACCTTACGATACGAAAACAATTCAGAGGCTGTCCGCATCACTGACAATTGCTAAAATTATTACGTTTATGCATTTTTCATTGGGATCAGTTTTCGAAATAGCCTAGCTATTGCCAGTTCTGACACTGATGGAATCCGCACGACAAAACGTTTGAACTAAAGACGCGGAGTAAAACAGCACAAAGCCCACGTCTGTTCCAAATGTTTTTAAACAAAGACCAATATTTTGAGCAGATTTTATATTGCAGAAAATATGTATTTCACTAAAATGTAAAACTGTTGTTGATTTTGTATATACTTGTTTTGTTTTGATGCTTTACATTAGCCTTAATAAAAATCACCTCACGACTTAGACTCCATAGCAGGAAAAAAGTAAAAGATACATATCTTCTCAGATTACCAGCATTTCTCTATCGGAACATATTGTCCGCTTTCTCTAATTTCAACCTCCTTTGCCAAGTTTTCTGGCCAAGTACTTGTTCTCTGTTAACAAGTGAAACCCGTATCTACTCGTTTACATAATGATAGGAACAAGCAGGCTTTTACAACCAGGTGGTTTTGGTATATTAATAGAAAGACGATCGCTTGGGTGTGGTTATCACTAACTTAACTAAGACTGAAACTCGTCTCTCTCGGTGTTAAGTGCCGAAACGGTGGGCGTGTGACGGCTGGATGTAAACCGCCCCATGCATGGACATTAGTGCGGAGGCGAACGTTTCTCCAATCGGAGCAATACCCCGAAAAATGAACTGAGTTTTAGTAGTCGTCTGTTGTAGTCTGCTTTTTCTGATGTGTGGTCTATTAGTTGTGAAAAACCTGATGGGGAATCTTTTGTCTGTATGCTAATAGTCCCTCCGTTGGCGGATCAGCCTTTTGTCCACGCACAGGTTTATATAGGGACCATGCACCCGCTGACGTTTATCCCAGTGTGAGGATTGCACCGCTATATTTTTACCTCCAAACTCTTGAGATACAGAAGTCCTGCCATGAGTTGCCTGGATGTTATGTATCATCAGTCTTATGGAGCCCATCAGTACTTGCCGGCGACATCGGCGGCTTACAAGGCTGCGTATTACCGTCGCCAGCAGAAACAGCTAAAACAGCAGGTAGGTCCCTGGCTTATTGGTGACCGTAATAACCCGCAGTACATTTAGAAGGTGGTTTGTGGCTGATGCTTTTAAAAGAAACGTTTCTTCCTCTGTCTCCGTCTTTGCATCGTTTGTTATAAACTTCGCGCAAGTGTCTCGTTTTGCGCTGCGTTTTTACGCATTTAACAGAACAGAGACCATCGCCCTTTTTGTTTTTCTTAGACACCATTTGCCAGCTGTAGGAATGTGTTAACTAAAGCTTTTTTTTTTAACTATGCAATTGTAATCATACAAGAAACTGCGACTGGGCTGTATGAGCGTATAAAAGTGGGTGACTTAGCAGATCCACCAGCCGAATAGTTAACCTCGGCTGATTTATGGATGAAAGCGCTTGGTTCTCTGAAACCTGAAAATGCACGAATGGAATACATATCCTAACATATTTTGTATTATCTTTGTTTACCTAAATGAATATACTGTATGGCAGTTGTTTCTTTACATTTTGACAGTGCAGTAGCGTCAAGTGAGTATTCCACATAAAACAATGCTAGTTAACAAAAAGACAACTTCCAAATGTATGTTTAATTGGTGTATTTCGGTCATAATGTTGCAAAAGGACTGGAAAACAATTTCCCCCGTTAAGACAGAAATAATGAGAACAGGTGTACGTGAGACAAAATGAAATAAACTAATCGCGCTCTTGTAGAACCGTAACTTTCCCAGCGCGGAAAAAAACATAACAGGAAACGTATCGTTAGTGTTTTTATTTCCCTGAATGCTGTGGCGTGAATGATGGAGTAAGATGAGTATGAGAGTTTATACACCAGATATGTGATGAAATACCTTGATCCTTTGTGGCTCGGGAATAAATAAAAGTTATAATTTATATATTACAGAAGGGGTGCCCCCACGCTTGTGATGTCACTGCCCTGATGTCATTCTCCCCTGCGATATCTTTACAGAAGAAACTCTGCTTCTACAGAAAGATGCAGGACTCTCTGGAAGTAACAGCGGAGGGAAAAGAGCAGAAAGAGGAGCGTGGCGGGGAGAGGGCGGGTGGAGAAGGGGAGCCGGCAAAGGAGGGTCCACCCGCTGAGGCTGAGTACCTGAGCTCCAGGTGCGTCCTCTTCACCTATTTCCACGGAGACATCAGCGATGTGGTGGATGAGCATTTCTCCCGTGCTCTGAGCCAGTTCAGCGCCTTTACTGAGGACAGGAAGGGCAGTCAGACCACTTTAGCGGGACGCTGGAAAGGTGAGTAATATTAACATAACCACCATGACTTTGACTTTCTGTGGCAAGAATCTATTGAAATGATAGTACACATCTGTAATTGTTTGTCTTTTTCTTGTGTAAAATACGACTCAGAAATTTATTTTGAACATATGCAGGCCTAGTTTATGGACAAGAAAGTTCTTTTGCTTAAGAATGTCTATTCCGTGTAGCCCTTTGTGGAGACCGCGTGGGAATTATTCAGGCAATGACCCAGCATGCTTGTGTTGCAGATGGACCATCTCTCCCTGCAGGTCCCTGCACCGGATTCCCGTCGTCCCTGTGGAGCAGCAGTTACCCCCCACAGAGCAGTCCCTGTGTCCCCTCCATCCATCCCGATTTCCCCCCAGGCACCGCTTTCCATTCTGGGGACCCCAGCACATGGGCTGGGCACAGTCTCCACCAGCCTGGCCTGTCTGCTTCAGCCACCCTGTCAGAGTCTTGGCACTATGCCCTGGGGGGCCAGGGAGGCACGGGTTACCCCCACGTGCACGAGGTGTACCCCCATGTTCATGCCCATCACACACATCCACACGCCCATCACATGCTCCACCATCCCCACAACCCCGCCCTGGACCCCCGTTTCAACCCGCTGCTGCTCACCAGCGTGCGTCCAGCCTGCAGCTCTGCCCCGCACTGTGAGGGGACCAAGACTGTCCCAGAGACAGGCAGCGGTCCGGTACACAGCTGGCCCAGTTCATTCCATGGGTCTCTGGACATCATTGATTCAGGTGGGTGGTGAGTCACACTCCTTTGCTAAGCAATCAGAATACATGTTAAGAAATTTTAAATAATCTAAACTGAATATGACTCCTATCTTAAAGTCATATTTCCTTTCTAACTGCAGTCGTGGATCCGGAGAAAGGAAAGCCTTCTGTTTGGTTCTGAGATGAAGGTGACGAGTGAGCCTTCTAACAGACAGTTTCCTGCGCTAAGACAGCGAACGTGATGAATTCCCTGGGAATTCTTTCCGGAAAAGACTCCTTAGGGTCACGCACAGCAGCATCTATCAAGAACATTAAAGTTTTACCAAAGCCAAAAGACTTGCCTTTTCTGGGATTTTTGATGAGATTTACAAAGTAGTGTGTTGCCAAAGGAGAAAGTTCTCTCAGGAAGGACATATTTGTGACAGGACCTGGATTCTAAGGTATACTTTTCTTTTTTAAAAATCTGTTATGCTTTCGATTTCATTTTTATTTTGAATTGTTGTGAGTCCCTGTACACCCTGATAGTTCTGTTTAAAGAACTGATATTGTTTGTGTACTACAGCTCAGCCTATTAGAGATGTTATATTGCTGGAAAATCCCTTTAACTAACAGTGTCATATTTTCTTTAACATAGAGTATAATGTCATTCTTAGTGGTTTGTTAACTGCTTGGACGCAGTTAGTGGTTCATTTCTTGGGCTCTCATTTCCTTTCATCGTTTGCGTGTGTACCGTGAACATTTGCCTTTATGGTGTAAGCTGGTGTAGCCATTGATGTGAATTTATAAATTGCTAAGTTCTATTGGCAAATACTCATTAGTTCCCTTTGCCTGAAAAAAAAGTTTAATTGCGATATTAAATATTTTGATGTGAATCAGATGTGCGTTGGAAATATACTGTTGACTCAAAATCAAACTTTCCTTTCAATGCAACCTTAGTATTTTTAAGATTGCCTGCCCCCCCCCGCCCGTAATCCTTACATGCCACTTAATGGATGCTCTTGTTTACATCCCATGACTGAAACAGTTGGGAGAAGGATATGTGCATGTTCTACACAAAACAATTGCCCTAAAGGGGATGACTCCATTTATATAACTATAGGTATATTGGAATAGTTTTAGCCGGCGTGTATCAACACTAAACAGCCCTATTTAAATTCCACATAATTGACATAACTTATTATGTATTCAGCAAGCAGTGTTCTGTCCCACTCAAATCCTGACCTCTTCATAGCATTTCTCTCTGTAACAAGGAAATATGAACATTTCAGCCATTGCAGATACTAATGCTGTGCATTAAAATTAGATGTTTTCATAGTTTTATATATTATGCACAGGCGCGTTTGTGTCATTTGCAGGTTCAGCGTACCGGCAGCCATATTAATAAATTATCATACTGCGTCAGAGAAAATCTGCTTTACTTCTCTGGCAGTCAGATTCTACCCAGTGTTTATGAAAATGAATACTGGAACCTTATCCGACAGGGAATGAAGAAACAGCCAGCTTCAAATGTGTGTAAATGTCCCAGATTCTTACATAATAATAAGTTCATGAATATGTTTCTCAAATAACAGGAAACATGCTCTTCGAAGTCGATGAGGAGCACATTTACTGACTAAGCAGGATGTCGTCCTCTGAGAGGGATAGTAAACACATACCAACAGCGTAAGCTGAGACCTTTTTTTGATGGTTGCCATGGGAGCTGATGGGAGCTGGGGGAGGAATTGTGGGAGGCAACTTATAAATGCAGGTTTGCCCGTACGGAGGCCCAGAGAATGCTGGGAGTCTGTGCTGTGTGCTGAATTTGAGTATCATCTTGGAATACTGCATCTTAAAATATTTTTGGGATGGGAGTCTCTGTGCCTGAAATTTTCCCCATTCCTAAAATGACTCGGAGCTCCAAAAGATCTTCAGCCTGCTCTCCCACCTCCGGGTATGAGCAGCATCCTAGAGTCCAAGGCATCCAAAAAGATCCCACTGCCCACAAGTAGGGCACGCCGATGGAATGTGCTGGTCATCTTTTAAGGTCTCAGAGAAAAGTTCTTGCATTCCCAGTCACTGAATATTTAAGTCTCTGTAGCCTGTCCATGACCTGCTGGTAGAGGACCGAGGCTTTTCCTGACCTCTCCTGGTTTGAAAGCATGTCATACAGTAGATCCGATTGTGGCTTATTTTAAACACATCATCCTGTACATCACACCACTTCTGAGACCTGGATTTCTCCCTCCTTGAGTGCCTTGCATGTTTTCATTTCCTATAGTGTTCCTCAGTAATGATGTCATTGTCCTTTCTATTTCTGTCATTTTGATTTGTTACCTGTGTATAGTGAGGTGTAAATGTTTTGTTGTTGAATAAAAGTAAAAATAAACTATTTATCATGAAAAATTCAGATGGCAGCTTTTGCTTTTTATATCACAGACATTCTGTCATATGTCATATTAATATTTCTCATATCTCCTATTAATATTTGAAGGGGCTTTTGAAGAAAGAAAACTTTCTCTTAATGGTAACTGCTTGGTTAAGAGTAAAATTAAATTCCCCATTATCTTCCTGACATAGACTTAATCATCCCTGCCACCCAATGGATGGATGCTGTAATAAATCAGCCATTCCTCAGCCCTAAATGTTCTGTGATTCACACCTGGAAGATCTTCAGTGGATAACATCATCAACAGGAATTCAACAGCAAATAGATATTGTTGTCTTTCAGGAAGTCCTAATTGGTCAGGTGGTTTATGAGGACCAGTCAGCCGCACCATCTCTGTTCTGCCTACCATCATATCTCATGCTTGATGGAAAAGGCTCTTTCATGGGCATACGTGAAATTTAGAATCTGGAGTGCGCTTCGTTGCTGTAGAATGTGTACATATATTACTTGTGGTAAATGGAAACCTATGGAAAGTTTTAATGGTCTACTCCCGCCACGCATGATTGTACAAGAGACACCAAAAAGGTTTTGCTGGAGGCAAAATAAAATTATGCAGTAAAATAATTATGCATGGAAAAGTTAGGATTTGCAAAAAAAAAAAATATTAACATTTCAAAGTTTTACAAACACCTGCTAGTGACACATAAGTCAAGGAAGTGGATGTTTCCAGTTCATCACTGTTTTATATTCCCCCCATACTGTGTCAGAACTGCTGGCAGAGAGTGTGGGCAGCAGCAAGCCCCTGCTCAGCCCCCGCCCCAGCCCTCCTCTCCAGGCTCTCACCCCCCCCCACCTCCCGGCACGCTCCCCAGACCCCATTCATCCTTCAGGAAACCAACCATTGGAAAAGTGGAACTCCTGCCTAGAGCATGAGAATCAAAGGCCTGGGCTTGTAACCCTGTGATTAGCATGTACTGCACTCATGTGCTAATGGAGGAGGTCTCCCGCGGGTCCCTTTCAGACACGCCGCAGCCACATCCCACTCAGCGTACAGCTTCTCTCTGCAGCACCTAGCTGATGTGCTTCAGCTTGCCGGACAGCGAGGCCATCGATTTCTAATGAGCAAAACACGCACACACCTGTCTGCTTATTCGCCAGGTTAAGTATCGGTTTAAATATTTAAATATGTATGTTTACACTTGGTGTAAATACACTGTGATGGATTTTTAGGTGGCATGCTAGCAGCCAAAGTCCAGGTTATAACTTTCAAGCATTAGTATGTGCAGAGGTTTGAGTTTATAATGTTTGGTCTAATTAAGCAGCCCCATTCAAAGCCTGAATCCGTGTGTGTATTTCCTCATCTTTAAATACATTTTTCTTTAAGTTTGTAGAAAAGCTTAATAACTCATTAATGTTGAAGGTTCATTTCTTCGATCTATATAGATGTGGACCAAAGCCAGAGTACAGGACAAAGGCTCCGTCCCATCCTCCACAGAGAGCCAAACTGTTCCTGCACAGACCAGAGCCAATTGCGCTTTCCAAGTCCCTTTATTGCCTGTGACCAACACTTCCAGTCTGGGGTCCCTGCTGCCAAATGTTCTGATCCGTCATAATCACCGTTTATGAAGCATCCTGGTATACAAAAGTCTTGAGTAAAACATTCTACTCAGCCACTAAATAATGCACACAATCTTTCCAATTATGCACCTGTATATAATAAATCATTTAAAATCGCAGCCAGTCACTGTACATTTAACCAGACTTGATCAAACAAAGATGGATTCAGATGAACACGTCGCAGCCAATAACACTATAGAATGAATGACTGTTTTCTTCTGTATAAGGTCTAAGTATTAGCATGACCTAATGAGTGAAGTATAGCTAGCATGTGAGCACTGGACAACAAGTGCATGAGTGCTATGTCCCATTGACTGACCAACAAAAGCCCTACATCTCAATGAAAGCAGCGGCCTGGCTACTCAAGGTGGGAGTGCAGCAAACGGACCACATCACAAATAAGTAGGAGTTGTAGACAAAATAAGCTGGAGGCTCAGCCTTCAGTCAAAAATAGTTCTCAGTTAACAGCCAAAGATTTGAATATCGACATGACAGGATTGGTCAACCATCAAATTATTCAGTGCTCTGCAGCAAGAAAACAATGTAGGTTACCTGGATCAAAGTACAGACGCTCCTCTACTTATGAACGAGTTACGTTCCAAATGGCTGTTCGTAACTTGAAATGTTCGTAAGTCGTAATTCAACATCATTTTAAGGGTATACGCAAGTACAAAGAACTAGGATGCTGGGAGTACGCGCGCTACGCTGCTGCGCGACGGGAGTAGCGGCCAGAAGTCATACTAGGCGAAATTGGCACGCAGAAAAAAAAATTGATGTGGAAACGGAAGCCCAACGAACACAATTCGGATTTACAGTCGTCTTCTTCGCATGTCTGAAAGTTCATAAGTTGAAAGTTCGTAAGTAGAGGAGCGTCTGTATTACCTTTGTCATCAGCGCTGATGTCACATACCGACACCATATCGAATCTAGGAATTATCTGACTATATGGATTTGGTTACTCTTCTGGGGTGGGGACAGGCGAGGAAAGGGCACAGAGGTTCATAATGTAAACCGGTCTTTCGGCTCTCTCTGCTACATTCAAGGTAGTTTGCTGGATGATTAGTCTAACGGTCACTAACACCATACCTGCTGCCTGAGACCTGCATAAATAGAGAAACGTTACACTTGTCGACAGTATACAGAAGCAATAAGCAGCACTTCAGAGCCAAGCTAACCGAGCCTTTCCCATCTATCTTTAAATTCTCTGCTCAGTGCGCTGGATAGACTTATCTGTTCCCTAATGGCAATTAAAAGTAAATTAAAAGTAGCCTCCTGCTACTATTTGGATATTAATGGCGTATATCTGTCTTGCCAATCTGCACGTGATTTGTCTCATATGACTTTAATGAAGTCATTATTGCTTGATTGGTGGCTTCATAGAATGAGTAAATAAATTATAAATTACAGTTGAAGTTCTATACTTTCTTTTGGTAGATGTTAAATTTCTGCTCACCATGTCTCAGTTCAGGCAGAGTGAAGCATAGAGGTTATCTTGATATTTTAGTAGTTAAAGCTACATTTATGGTATGTCGGTTTCAGTCAGCGTGGGGTTTTAAACCACATGCAAAAACCCACTGGAAAAGCATTCATTACTTCACATACAAGATTTTACAACTGTCTTAAAATGAAGCACAGCCTGCCAAATATACTGACTCAGCAGATATTACGTAATGGCTGCAGGATACGCAGGACTAGCACTTCAGATTCTTCAAATCTAAAGCAGACCGCAAATAAATCCACATAACTAGCATGGAGTTACTCAAAATAAGCATTGCGATGTTTGGTTACATTAAACCAAAGGCATTGTGGTCCATCTTTCAAAGACATGGCAGGTGTTTATGTGTTGCGGAACAGCTTGGGAGATGCATATTTGCATTGCATTGCTAATTTGGGTCCGCCAACACTCATGTAAATGGTAGTAAAATATACAGTTAAAGAAGTGGGCTATGGTAATACTGATGAATGTTTATGATGTAAGACTATCTCCCAAACATTGTACACTAATCCACTTTCACTCACCCAGCCCACCCACAAACTAATGAGTGCATGTGCTTCTCCTAACTGATGCATCTCTTCACTTCACCACTGTATAATATGATTATAATGGCACTACCAGATTTTCATCATTATAGCATACATTACCTTTGCATGAAATTCAGTTTTTTTTAATGATAGCAGACACCAGTGTCATCTATCAAATTACTGCATTCAGCTTCTCCCCAGGTTACGATGGGGTTACGTTCCGATAAACCTATCGTACGGCGAAAATATCGTAAACACCGAAACCTAACAAACATCGTAGTCTAGCCTAGCTTACCTTAAACATGCTTAGAACACTTACCTCAGCCTACAGTTCAGCAAAATCATTAAGACAAATTCTATTTTTTAATAAGGTGTTGAATTTATTGAATTATGTACTGAAAGTGAAAAACATTAACCCATCGTAAAGTCAAAATATCGTAACACACACCATCATAACCTGGGGAGCGCCTGTATTTTGCCATTTATTTTAATACGCGTATAATATAATTTTATGACTGTATGTACATATTTTTGCCCACTTATTTCAAGGTCCCTGTGATGGACTGGCATCCTGTCCGGGAGTAGCCCTACCTTGTGCCCTAAGCTGCCCGAAGGTTCCTAAACACCCCATGACCTTGTTCAGGACAGGCGGATGGAAGGTAGATGCATGTGTGACTGTCACAGTGGTTCCCCGCAGTCCGCTTTTGCCCCTTCCTGTCCCTCCTCAGTTTCTCCTGCTGTCTGTCCTCAGGTGACCGAAGACGGACCCTTGAGTAGCAGATTGGATTACACCGGATTAGACTTGACGTTTACGCGGTGCATAGGACAGTTTCTGAGGCCCGCGGTGGTAACCAATGAATAAAGGAGGAAATGTTTACAGACGGAATTCCACACAGCGGTCCGTTGAGAAACAGAGGAATTCGAGGGCACTGACTATTCCAAAGTTTTTTCTTAATCTTTGTACTACACAGATTGGCATGCATATCATCACCCCCGTTCTGCTGCCCATTCCAAGCTCAGAGTGCACGCATAAAGGGCATGAACTACTATAAAGACCACAACGAATCAGACTAGGATCTAGACTGACTGTGTGATACATGCCCTTATTGTTCCTGTTTCCTGCTCTACAGTGCATGTGCACAGTACAAAAAAACTTACATCATACTTGCAAATTCATAGAAAGCACGATCAAAGTACCCTGCTCTACTTGAGATTCACGACTCAGGTTCAAAATAAGTTCTATTCTCCAAACTGCCTGGAGCTCCTTACAAAGGACCCCTAATAGGACCCACCTTGGACTGAACACAGTACGGTTATAGGACATCGCTATTTCTAATAAACGAAACAACCATAATCTCTATTAT